GTTTTGTTTTGTCTCTGAGATCACAGAAAAAAAATGACAGAATTTAGAATCGCAACTTCTAGAAAATTTAAAACTGCACTCATAGTCGGAAGTTTAAATGCATATTGACAGGCTTTCCTTGTTGTTTTGCGAACAAACGTGCTCGTGGAAACGTATGACTCATGTCAAACTTTTACATTCGAACAATCCGTCAAGATTCTCACTTCAACACTCAGAAAACCACCGATATTCAGAACTGCGCACTTTTTCATACTCATCATCTTCACTCCTCATGCGCGAATCCGATGACGTCAGCACGGCGATGAAAATCTATGGGAATACGCGATTCCTGTGCTTCGCGAAACATATTCAAGCTCTCACTTTTCAATGAATTCTCCATCATCGACTAAATTTATCATCACAAGTACTGTACAACAGTGACAAAACTTCACAGCTTTCCTCCGATGAGTCCCGCTCATGACCAACGTTGGAACGCCACTGAAAAATGATCTCCGCAAGCGCGGGGAACCATGGAAAGCAAACCGAACCCTCGCGCGCGGGAAGCGAGTGAACACCGAACAGCCAGCCTCATGGGTTCAGACAACAGCTGCAACTGCAGTATATCTGAGCATCAGGGGGATCAGGAATTCAAGAGGAGACTGTTCTCGATATAACTTCGTTTCATATGGTTCAGTCTCTCCCAAAAATCATATGGTTCAGTCTTTCCCAAAAATACGTTCAACTGAGCGCCACCCTTGAAACGTGTACAATTTTTTTCGAAATTCAGTAATTATAACTTATTCTAATACTGTAACATTTCCCGCGGTATTCTGACGGGCTAAAAAACTCCGATCCGTCCTCAGGAATAATACGAAAAACAATGCCGTCCACATTACGGTTACGGCGGTGTGTGATCCGGATTGTACATTATTTTAGTGTAAATAAACGTATAATTGAGAATCTAACTCACTGCTGGACTATTCATACCACAGCAATTCACAGCAACCACCATCAGACGAACCACAGTATCAGAACTCGACGTAGAAGTGAGTTTCGAAACTATTCACGAAACTCGCACAGGTGCGGGAAGAGATTCTGAGGGACAATAAGAAAGACCGGCCGGTTCCTTCTTGGGGCACGCGACTATATATAAAGAAGCCCATCAAGGTAAAAACCCGGGTGCCATTCAGAATATAGTTTCCATCTGTTACTTGTATGTATCGAAATGAGACCCCGTAAACGATGCGCCAGGTGTTCACCACATACCTTGACGGTCGCAAAGTAAGGAAATGTCCAACGCACATTACAATGATCGGGAATGGAGGAGGCACGATTGAAGAAAATTGTTCGCTTCGGGGGATGGAATACAGGCTGGATGCGGAATAATACAGAACGGATACGCGTTCGGTATTCGTACGTATACTGTACTCCGTTCTCGCAAAATACTGTATACATTTTGGACGATTTCTACCACACATGTTTTACATACAGATGAATTTTGAAGGGGATGCTTACAGGGGATTTCATTTGATGATGCAGCACAATATAGAGAGTAGCGCTTTATAAATTATAATTAAGAATTTACCCAAAAACGATTTATTTTTCCATATACTGTACAGTGTGCACACTGTACAGTATTGATAGAGACCGTATTATTCGCCCCTTTCGTCTTTCAGTCATTCATATCTCTCTGTAAAAACCTACTTCATGAGTATATACAGCAGTATTGATTCTTGGAAAAAATGAAAATCCAATCCAAAGATTTGCGAATCATCAGCTAAGTGCAGCAGCCCAGCGTTTATTTGTTCATCAATGCGCGCTATTTCAAGCAGAAATTTTACGAGAGTATGAGGAAAACAGGAAATACACATCATGCGACACTGAACTACAGAATATGCATATTTTTCAGCATATTTTTCACGATATACGCGCATATCGTAATATTTTCATCAAAAGCCGAGTTTAAGAAGTACTGCATATCAGCAATTCACACTCAATCCGTACGTATCGCACGAAGCTTTTACCACGCGAAATCACAGTTCTTCCATTATCGACGCGCTGATTTTCAGCGGAAATCCTGTGAAGCCATTATTGCACACTGGATCCCATGAAACCCCAGGAAAGTAGTCCATGACCCACTGTTCGACCTCAGGAAAAGAATCATTCACAAAAGCGCGCCAAATTCGCGCGTCCACTGCCAGCTCAACACCACCACCAGCACGCCACAATTCTGTAAGTTATACAGCAAAAAGAAACAATCCGGAGGATGGGTGAAAACAAATTTCACTCCTCTTTTCTGAATCTGCTGCAAGATGAAGTAAAATATCTATAGAACTGGTGAGAAATCCAACGCAGCTCAGAAAAGAAAGTACGGCTGTCAATAATTGGATGGACCAACGTTTTCCAAGCCCAAATCGTTCCGGAATTTTGATGTACAATAAGATACAATTGTCCTAGAACGTCTGTTAGCAGCTTGAAAGAAAATTAGCTAGATTTCTCAAGATATCGGGATCATCTTCACTAATATTACTTATTAAATCAGCGATAAAATGTAAGAAGTTCCACAGCCCATTCCCATGCTCATATATATATGAGACAAAAGAAAATGTCAAAAACAGCATTCTTCTACAGAGAATCATCACGGAGTTCTGAAGGATAAATGGGAAATTACCTGTTTATACTCAAACATGTAGTTTTAAAATGGCAGTGTTCTAAAAACTTCAATTTGATTATCAAATTGTTTCCATTTATTCAGTTTGACTGTCAAGGTTTGTCCATATACGGTATATAAAATGATCGTCCTATCCGGACAATCTTAGGAGTGTGATAGGCTATGGCTTCCATATGTTCCATCTTCCCGCAGCAGGGGTCGCTGTTGTTGCCTCCAAATGCTCGGCGGAAGTCTCAGCTTGCGAATTGTTCTCTTCTGAGTCGCAGCTGCTGGGTCCAGGGATTTTGTTTCCAGGATGTTATTTTTTTGTCCGAGACCCAGGAAGAAGAAGCCATATACAGTATGTGAAACACAAGCTGCTGAACAGCACGGGCGGGGATGTGGACAATAAATGTTGAAGACTGCCGTCAGGGCATACTTTACAGTACATACAGTACAGTATAGTGTGCATGCTTCCGCAATGAACAGACGAAAACTAGGATATGTCACAGTATAGACTTTTTTACGATACTGCGAATGTCTCAGTTGATAAACATAATCCATTCTGATGGAAATTTTAGTGCAAGTTGTTGAAAATGTCCGTAACCTGCTGATGAAAGGTAAAATCCATGAGAGTCGCAGTACAGTACTGTACGACGAGGGGTCTGACAGATGTTATTCTCGGATTAAAAATTAAAACGGCATCCCAGGATTGAGCTGAACAAATTACTGTCTTGTGCAGAAAGAAACATTTTTGTTTTGTTGCAAAAGTCACCCTCGCGCAGCTTTCTCATCCTTTTCATTCATAATAAGGTGAGGTACCCATCTTGCAGATTTTTTGCTGGTGCAGCCCATCTTCTCTAATGTGGTGGCTACATATGTGGAGCAGCAGTGAAGGCAGTTGACAAAAATGACGGGATGATCATATACAGCATATGCGGTAATAGTAGCCTCAGAAGATCTGGAAACAGCCTTTGGAATTAAAACCATGTCAATTTCAATAATCCTGAAGGAGGAGCAAAAAAAAAATCTGCAAGACGGGCGTCTCATCATTTGAGCGAAACGCAAAAAGCTTCCCCGATGAATTTTGCAAAAAATGTCAAACAGAGCTGGTTTTTCAACGCATTATCCTCGATTAAGTGTTTTTACCGCGTGAATTCCGAGCGTTTTTTTTTCTGCGTGACTGTATCCGCGTTGGATAAACGGTACGAGTTAAAGACACGACGCAAAATTCGTTAACAGCAGTAAATCGATTGACAAGCCGCAGCACCCTAGCAGCTGTCGTTCCTCAGCTCGAACCAACCGACTTTTGAATTACCGTTGGGGTGCATGTCATTCTCGCCGGAGAAAAAACTGCGCCCACATGGGAGAGAGAGTGCGGTCGTACTGGGGGTGACTGAAGCGCGGAGTCCAGCAGCGAAGGGATTGTTCCTCACGACCCTTGGACGGGAATCTCAGTTGTTTAGCGATACGCGAGCGACACCTGTTTCTGAAAATTCGCGGTTCCACTGTAGTCTGTGGTAGATGTCGTTATACATACAATTCTCAAGTACTGTACTATACAGCGCTGAGCTGCAATGTAGGTGAAATATTGAAGAAGAATTGATTGTTCATGCACAGTCCATGGAAGGAACCATCGCTCTTGGCAAAAATATGACTCAAACACTGAATTGTGTCTCAATAAATAATGAACTTACGTTTGAAGCACCTGAGTCTGATGATTTAAACAGAACGTCCTATATACAGTAGAAATATTTTCTACTTTCATCAATTATATATTCCATGAAGGACATTTCACAGTAATGTGGAAAAGGTTCTTTATAGGATTCTCTTCGTAAAACTCCTCTTTTCTAATGTGAATTAGGAATTACTGTATTATTATTGTTCTGGCTCTCATTCTTTTCACAGATCGTTAAATTTTCTGTATGCAAAATTCGTTGCTTTGTTCAACAACTGAAAAATACAGATAAATCTTGCTGTGAAGCACCAAAGCTCTCGTAAAGAATTCTTAGGATAAGTTTTATGGTGAAGGATTTTAATGTATCAAGTTGGCATCTTATTCGAGTGCTTCTCACATCCCGTAGATTTCTGTATAATATTTAGGAGTCCCAAGGTAAAAAAAAAAAAAATTACGAGGATTTAACAAGGATTAAACCCCATCTCGTAATGAATCCTAATTCTCATGAGTCAGAGACCAACCATTCGAGCAACAAATCTTCCACGAAATCGCTTGCCGAAAAAAAAGATTCTCTCGAGAAATCCACGCCCGTCAGCAAACCTGCTCCCTGTCGAAAAAAAAGAAAGAAAACCAACGATCAAATACCTCACATACAAACACAAAATCTCAGAAATGAAAACCATGCGCGGCACGTGAGCTCCGAAGGGGAAAACTTCATTGCATTCCTTCCACGTTTTCATCGAGTTTTACATCGTAAATACACACTGGAAAAAGACGGGAGGAGTAGGGGGAAAAACCGAAAGCGTGTGTGATGATCCCTACAAACTCTCCCTTTCCTCCAACTCTCCGCTTCATCCTCAACACACTTCTCTTTTTGCGACCCGCCACGGATAACGAGGAAAAAAATAAGTAGACACTGATCCTCCTCCAAAAAGGGCTTGTGAACACCGTCGCGACAAAAAAAACAAACACTGGGTGTACCTGCTTCATTCCACACAGCAACCAGAACAAAATTTACCAGCTAGAAAAAAACACGCGATTACCGTATTTATGGACTGATGCAAAGAAATATTCTGAAACCGTAAGGGGAAAAAAGAAAAGCGCGCGGGTGGTTCTGGGCGGGACTAGAAATTGTTCCATGCAATATAAATGGGTTCCTCTTTTTTTCCAACGTGTTTTCATGTCTCTTTCTTCACATCACGAGATTTGGCTTGTCTTCTCCGGTTTGTTTCTGCAGTGGGTATCAAGCAGCATTCATGAACTCTTCCCTTCAGACGAGGATAGATTCGAGAAAAAAAAAACAAAAGAACGGCGGGGGAAAAAAAACGAAATGCTTTCGCGTTGAACAAACGTGCGAAAAATTCCCGCGGGAGATTCGGCCAAACGATTACAAATTCAAGACTTCTTTCAGAACGAATGCAGAAGAAAACGAAACGCGAATAACACGACTTTTTTTTTCTTTCAGCATGTCAACGTATCACAACCCGCATCCGCGTTTGGACCAAGATAGAAAAACAAATGCTAGAGTACGAAACGACCTAATTTGGGTGCTTTTCGCTCGGATTTCCTCGGAATCTCCTGAATCCCTTGTATCTGCAGATTTTTTTTCAGATTGTTAAAAGAATGTTTTCAGTCATGACATCAAGTCTACCCATAAGAGATCCAGTACTGTATTTGAATGCTTATGAAGAGATTTTCCCACACATAGCTTCTCAATTTCATATTTTGTGTTTTAATGAATGTAAACTAGATTTAACAACTTAAACCACAGGAAGTTCTTCAATGACATTTGAGATTAAAAGCTGCACCGCTTTTGCTCAAATGCTAGAGCCGGAAGATGCACACAACAACTAGGGGATCCAGAAATCACGTTCGAACAGAACTTGATACAAGATGGAAGGATGTTTCTAAATTTAGCCAAAACTTAATGAACCGACATCATTTGTTCGTGGAAGTTTAAAGGGGTTGGGGTTGATCAAAAGCCAAAATGATTTGAAAATCAGGTACACTACTATATAAAATGAAATGATGATTCTTTCAGAAAACTATCAAAATAATATTGGGATGTTTAACTTGGATCTAGCTACTGTTCCCAAAAATTAAATTACGTCATCATTGTGTGTGTTGAAAAATTTTTTTTTTCGAGGTTTCTCACAGAAACCTAAATCATCTTGGCTGGGTATCAGAAGGAAAAATTAATTGGCAGGAGCATACTTGGGTTACAAATTTTGGCAGACGAATTTTTAACGGGGTTTGCAATGTATTTATTCAAGAATTTTTGTTATCGAAAAAAATTGGCGGTTGCCAAGGGTGGCGGCTCATCAGAGGGCGTCTTACGGCGCTTGACTGCATCAACGTATCTATATCATTTTTGTTTCCGTTCACTCGGGTAGATGTCACCGGCAGTGAGATTAGCATCACTAATTATGTAACGATTCACCTCATTCACAAATGCTTCTGGATTCCTCCAGAGCGTATAACACATTTTTAGGATGTTCAAAAGCCGAATTGTTTCCTTGAAAAACTGGAAAATTATATAACAAGCATGAGAACTCAGATGTCAAGACTTGAACATTGTAAATACTTCGCTAATCTGCTGATTTTCAAGAAACTCAAACAAACCCCGAGGAATCCTCCAGATACACCCCTCGCATTTGGTAGAAAATGCAGTCCGATGGAGGGCCTCAACTTCACGACTGCCACTTGCGACGCACTACACAACATTTTTCGAGGGACAAAAAAAGCAATTGGATGCGCATAAAGAAGAAATACAGGAGAAGAAAAAGTAAACAAAACCGCGTGGCTGCCCGGTGCGCGACGAGATCCGCGAAGTCTCTTCGTTCTAGTGTTTCTTTCTTCTCTTTTTCAACAGACACAGCAATCGAGAAATATAACAGTGCCGCACGCCACAAGCACCACCGCCGCAGATCTGACACGATTGCAACCGTTTTGAGCGACTCTCTAAAAACCCACGCCTGCTTCACAAAAACCCCGTTTCTTTTTTTCTTTGTTTTTAAAGTTTTTTTTTTCCTTCGTCTCCACACGACAAGCAGCTGCGTTTCCGGAACCCGGTCACAACCCGCGCCCAGCCTCCAGACATCACAATAGACTCACTCAAACCACTTGGCCTCTGCTGTGATCCAGCAGGACTCAAACGCCGACTTTCAAACAGAAAAAAACTGTTCAAAATAAGCCTCCCTTCCCTAATTGGTGGCATAAATTCGGAATCTGTCTTTCTAAAAAAATGCAACATGAGCAAATCCACGAAACACTATGAATAAGTGCGCCTAGAAAGCAAAATGTTAGGAATCCTCAAGGGTTCATCTGTTAAGACACATGCTTTTTTGTTCGATGCATATCTTTGCTTCTTTGAAACCTGGAGATTTCTGTTTTGCCGCAAACTGCATTTCAATGATTCACCACCTCCAAACAAATTAAATTTAATGAGATATTTGGAAAAGCGACAAAGGCTATGGGAACATTGCAGAACACAGTTATTTGATTACTGCACTGGGTTTAAAGCAACACGTATCAGGCGTTACCTCTCTTACAAGACCCCCTTGACCAGACAGATAAACTGCATTTTTTGCGAATTTTTGATGCAACTTCGCAAATGGACGAGGCCTAAAATACGTAACAACAAACGTGACAAAACATTCAAGAAAAAAGAAACATCTCGAAAAAAAAGTTAGTCGTTGATTAGTGTAGCACATACACTGACACACAAACATAATTGTTCGAAGTCAACCATGCGTTTCCTAATATTTTCTCACTGCAGATTGCTGATGAACACTGTTTATCTAAAAGCCCGAATGAAAGCAATTCAACGGGGCAAATGAAATCAAAAACTGAAAAACATATGCCATCAATTCTGGAAGGTGATTTTCTTTTGCAACAAAAAATCTGATCTGGTCAGTTACATCAAAGCTCTTCAATCCCAATGTTTCCTTTTCAAAACGACTGTTCGTAAGAAATAATAAACGACTCCAGAGTCTCGAGGAATATCTCATGCACTGCTCAAAATACGCTTCGCATTCATCACAGATGAGCACAGATGTAATTTATTTGTGCAACGATCTAGGTACGGTCAGGATACAACAGCATTGATAGCTTCGAATTATCCCACACACGAACATTTCCATTTTTATCAAATGATTATTTAAAAGCAACAACTTCACCTGTTGCTTGGATGTTTTAAATAAGCTCGTTCCTTAAAAAGAAAAACACTAGAATTATCATATTGGAATGCCGAACATAGCCAAAAGGAATAAGTTTCTGGCAAAGAGCAAACCTGGCACAGTAACTTCTAAGAACTAAAATTACAAGAAAATTAGTTTAATCGCCATTTATCTTACTTACGCAAGTTCACACGCACCCTTTCCCCACGACCTAAAACATTTTAGCAAAAAAGGGTGTGCGTGCCATGGTTGGGTAAAAATGTTCAAGTGACATATATTTCAATTTTTGAACATCTTAGATTTTACCCATTGCAGTTTCTAAAATTTGGATTTGGATAAATGAAAACTGAGGTGCGCTTGTAGCGCAGGGATGACATTTTTTTCAAATATTTTGCTAAAAGTTATTTTGGAACTACTTTTGCGTTTCTCAATAATGAAGACCTTCGACGTCGTTACACGTAGAAACCAGTATGACACATTTGCACAATTAGGCTCCTCTGGTCCGGACATCTCATTAATTGATACAATTCAACAAAAGGATTTGAAAAATTCATAATTCAGTCGGAAAAGATAACAGAGAGAAGAGAAAAGCTTTGATGGCTTCCCAGTAAAACCCCCTCCCCCACGATTGATCACACCCGCCACCTACGTATATCCCACAGGCAGTGAATTCACACAACGCTCGTTTGCAAACTTCGTTAAGGGTAGTTTCCCACAGGAGAAAGATCAGGAAGGCCTATTGGGTTGAGTGTTACACACCGCGCCCAACGAGCCTCAGTGACTAGCCATCTTTTCAACTCCTCGTTCATCAACAATCCGAGATCAAACAATGAGTTGAACCTCGCTTGAAACTCAGTCCAAGGTTAGTTCGTCCACAAGTGCGTCTGTCCCGCTTCGTTTCCTTCCCAGGCAATGTAAAAACCTCAAGTATAGCCTCCTCACTCTATTCTTTCTTTCCATCCTGCTTAATACAGCTTTCTGATCGCCCCCCCCCCCCCTCCCCCAGCTTTCGAACAAACAAAATTAGTCAACATGGAAACAAGCACGAATAACGTAATTCATCGCAGGTTTTTAAAAATGCTAGATAAAAAAACAAATTCTTCAATAACGCGGGTGACCGAGTTCCGGAAGCCCATCATTCCGCGGGAGGGATAAAAATAAATATAAATGACATGTTACAACACACGCGGAGATTGATCGAGACGGCGGGGCGCAGGGGATTCCAGGGCGACGTGTCGTGTGCAAGAATGAAGACGCCCCCCTAAATTTTTATCTTTTCCCCTGGCCCACACGTACGAACCCGGTCCAGCCAACACATCATCGAGACGAAAGGGGAGAGACAAAAAAACCATTCATTGCGGCACTAATTGCGTGACCATCATCTTCTCCGCTTGAACGGGATTGAACCCGCCGTTGTCACACCCTTCGGCGACGTGGGGGACTTCGAGGGTCGACGCTTTCGAACAGCAACAGCTGCCTTATTCGCGGTTGCAGCCGCCAGCGCCGGGTTCAAAACATCTCCACCGCAGACATCGTCATCACCAATGACAGGTTCCATCACAGAGTCGCCGCCGGGGCCCTGGTCCGGCGCCGTGTCGGGCTTCACAGTCTCTTTGTGCTCCGGCTGCAGCAGGAAGTCCAGGGAGGATATGAAGGCATCTTCCGGCGACGGGATCGGCGGCATGTGCGGCGGCGAAGGCGGCAGCAGCGGACGAGACGGCAAGTCCTCCGATGGACTCGACGGCATCCGCTGCTGCACACCCGCGTTCATGTTGCTTGTTCCCAATTGAACGCGCGTCGGAACTTGCGGCACTTAAAAAAAACGTTAGCACGTTAGCACATGCAAAGTATAAAGACTGTCAGTATCTGAACATCATTTAAAATTTAAAAGAATGCAATAAAATCCCATCACGACGAAACCATTGGGACCAGTAAAATACCTTCATCGTGAAGAAAATTTTGTTATAACGGGAATTTTCCAACATTGTGGCTATTGGGCAGGTACCTAATTAGCTACGGTGTAATCAGAGAGTAGCGCAGAAATTTCCCCAAGAAGCCTGAATAAACATCTCAACCACAGATTTCGCGCCACGAGAAACTGCAATACCGCATGTAAAATCTCCTATTTATTATAGTAAACCAGGACTACAGATGGAATCTTTCTAAGATAATTTCCTGAACCGTATTTATCTCCATGAAACGGATTCTCTATTTTTTCCATCAATACACGAGCATATCATCTTCCATGATGAGTCCTCTCCGGGTACCATATGTATTTCCAGGTTTCATGTTCGGAAAACTTTGAAACAGCAAATTTTGACCGACGTACCTTGTGAAGCTTGAACTATTCGTGCTCCGGGAAAATTCGTGTGACTGACTTTTGCCCGCTGCACGCTGACTAACGTTTGTGGCCTTGCAGCTAAACTCGTTGGGATGTGCACGACTTTCTTTTGTAATTCCGACTGTGACCCAGACGACATCATTCTCGGTCCGGACACCACCACAGCCTGAACGAGACAAAAAAATCACGTCAGAAACTACTCACGTTCGAAAAAGATTTTCTGCCCATCGAAAAAAAACCTATCAACTGAAAACATTAATAATTAAGAAAATGACAATAATTAACTCGGGTAAAACACCGATACCTAAAAAATATCTGTACGCCGATAGAAAAAAATCTGAATAAAAATTGACGATTTCTCGGCAGGAAATAGACCATAATTTAGGTTACCTGTGTGCCACCAGCGTTGCCAACGAGCTGTCCGAGACTAATCGCCAAATCGTTGGGATTTAGCATTGCCAACTCGGCCTTCGTCAACGGCTGTAAGCTTCCCTGAACATCCCGCATCAGCACCACCTTTGTCCCTCCACCGACACTAAAACAAAAATTAATTAAAATCAAAACGTTTTCAAGAGCTGACATAATCTCGGAAAATCATCGGACCATTAAGACGGTAAAAAGCGTACAGGGCTCGAAATCTAATCGACATTTTTTCGCGAATAAGCTTTCAAAATTACTACTAGTGATTACGGTAATGAAACTTGTTGCAAGGTAAGAATTAAACTTTCCATCTCAACCAACTGAACTCAATCGGTGAAGCTACAGGGTGTCCGGAACTTTCCTTTAAGACGAGAAATGTGTGACCCGAACAACACTTCCACTCCACTTTATACAATACTGTACACTATCGAAAAACTGGAATAATGTACTTCAGGTAGATGTCACTAGCAATCACAACCACATTTCGGTATTTTCATCCGAATCATCTCAAGTTCCATCAAATCGAGAGTTTCCTCTTGGGTATTCACTACTATTGCTACCGCGACAAAGAGGTGCAACTGAGCCATTGTCGACATTTTTGTACTGTGAAATTACGGAAATAATGAATTGGTTTTGAGTATCTATCCTTACTCTGAATAATTAGGCAGTCTCGAAACATTTATATGATTATACAGTAACCACTTCTTGGGCAATGCTACCTCCGCTTCATCAAAGATTTTGACCATAAAAAAATACGCTAAGTTTGCACAATACAATTTTTGGACTCCCAACACTTGTAACATGAACTGGAAAAGATGTGACATCACATGACTTGATCAAGCAGTGATACTGTACAAGCAAAAAAACAAAACAAAAAGAACGGGTATCACTCACGATGCATTGGTCAGGCCACCATCGACGTCAACACGGCGAGTAAGAGCAACCTTGGCAGTCTGAACACCCGCCTCCGACATCCCTCGCGTTGGCTTCACCTCAAACTCCTCCTTGACAACCGACCTCCATGGCGACGCGGCGCCCTTCAGCGTCTCAAAGCTCGGCAGCGCCGCCATGTTCGGAGCAGCCTGAAGCTGATGCTGCTGCGGCAGTAAAGCAACAGACGACGGTTGCAACGTCGCTGCATCTTCTTCTTTCACCTTCACCACAGCCGTCATCATCGGAGCCACTTCTCCGCTTGCTTGCGAGCCCTGAGACGTGACGAGCATAAACTTCTTGGCCGGAGAACGAAGCACGTTCATTCCGCCGGGCAAGGCGGCTCCGCTTGATGGACGCCGCTGGAGCGGAGCCTGCGGACGCGACTTGGCTAGCCGTTGGGCGTCCGCCGGAACCACGGGTTTCGCGATCGGGAGCGGCGGTCGACTCAACAGTTCCTCCAATGACGGCGAAACTGTTGTTGTCGTCGTCGTTGTCCCAGCCGATAGATGAGATGTCACCCTACACATATCAACAAAAGAACAGCAATAATTACAAGAAATTAAGTGTAAAATTCAAATGTACAGTAATATCAAATTTCAGCGTGAAGAAGAAAAACAAGGATTGTCTGATGCCCACGCATTCAAGAGTCAAATGCCCACAGCAATCATTGAAGGATTCAATCACTGATCCAATTATTTTTCACATCAAGAATCGTTCACCAATCGATACAAATTTTTCAGTTGTATCAGTTAAATTTTAAGCATTACAGGAACTTCATCGTGTTTCCAACTTGGAATTGCCACTTTTAAAGCTTCGGTACCATTAGCAAATCATCCATCATTTAATAACTAAAGATAATTTTTGATACACGTATTTGCACTGAGATTTTCCAGATCAAAAATGAAATATTTCGTAAGTCAGGTCAGAAGGTTAAATTTAGAGGTTTGTCGTGCTACCAAAATAGGATCGGCAAAAAAGTAATCAAGATTCCAGGATACACCGTGGATTCTAACTCTCAACTGCCCTTCTCTTGCCTCAAATAATGCATAAAGAAAGTGGACAACTTTTTGCAGTGATGTCCCAAAAACAGTGAAAATTATAGAATTAGCAATAAACATAGTTTAATGAAAATTTGTAGACCTCCCTTTCCTGGCTTCTAGCGGAAACCAGACATCCACGAACAGAAAATATAGCTGGCACGGCGGTACAATAAACCAAGCATTTCATCTAGTTGAGGAAAACACTTCCCTCACCACCAAGGATACTAAAAGTTTCAATAGTATTTTTGGTACACGGAAAAGAGGGCATTTAAGCTTGAACCCCAGAACGTTCGCACTTAATTCTAAGCTCATAATGACATTCTTTTCAAGTACTGTACTTCCGTGCGACGTCTTTGCACTATCAGCAAAGTTCGACATGTTACTTCAGCAGAAGAGAGACACATGTACTACACAAAGGAAGGTTCCCAATAAAATGAAGTGTCTGCTGACTCTTAACCAGGAGTGTAAAAATGTGGTGCGAACTTAAGCGTTCAAAAGAAAACTGGGCGATTTCGGCATCTCCAAGTAATGAGATGAAGCTTAGAGGCTATTTTGGTTCAAGCTTCATATTAAAAAGAAATTTCCTAAAATTAAAAAAATAAATTAAAAAAACTTAGCAAAACTTGAACTAGATTCATTTTTTGACTCCGTGAATTCAGTGTAATGATTCATTTCATGCTTTCTCACAAGATCTTGAAGGCATTCAATGATTGATACAAATCTCTGAGGAACGCAAATAATTTCTCAGGACGTAATCAATGTATTATGAACAAAATTATTCATCGCGTTGGCGGAACTCTCTTCCTGCTTTGGCGCAAAAACAAAACAAAAAAAACTATCGCACACCTGCGACGGGAACAGGAACGTCGGGTGCCTTACCAGACAACTGTTTACCATTCACAGTACCCGGGAAGAAAATCCACCTTCCCCCCTAAAAAAATGTTTTTTTTTCCTTAAACACCCAAGCATGATTCCTGAAATATCAGACAGTCGGTGTCTTGATCACTAACCTGACAGAACCCAAGTTGATCTAAAATGAGGAAACCAAGAGGTTTAGACCTAACGAAGGATAAATAGTTTGAAAAGAAATATATGAAAGATCGCAGAAAATAAAGCAGTCGGGGACATTGGGCGATGAAATGACATCAGTAGATAATCCGCACAAAACGGGGTGTAAACCTCATGGATAAAACCCTTGAGATGAAACACATGAAACATCACAAGAGTCGTGGAAATTAAGTTTAGAAATGGCTAGGACCAACCAAAAAAGAACCCTCTTTGTAGACAAAAATTCGAAAATTACGGTAATACGAACCTCGTCCTGTCAGTCACAGCCACTTTCCCGGCCAACAGGGCCTGCAAGTTGGGAGAGTTCTTGGATTGCACAAGGACAACAGTGCCACCGGGCCGCGGCGCCGAACCGGATTGGATGGCGATGTACTGAGCACGTGACAACACTGAAGAGCTGGTCGTCGCCACCAAGACGCCGGTGTGGGATACTGGGGTCAGGCACGCTTGGTATTGATGTTGCGACTGCGAATCCGCGGACATCAGGATGCAGTTGGTCGGTGGCTTTAGACCATCTGGATCTTGCTTGATCGCCTAAGAAAAACACAATCAATTTTGTGATGAAATTTTGCGTTTTGTAAACTTCCCAAATATAGGGAACACGCGGAAATTCGCACTAGAATACTTAGCTTCAAAAAAATAAATAAATAATAACTCGATTCTAGCGTCAGGAATACAACACACTCTTCTATCGCCGGAAAAGTATCAGAATCAGGAAATCAGAACATTCATGTCGATTGAGAAGAGAAAAGAAAATCCTCTGCTTGAAACCTCGGGATTTAAAAAAATTACACTTTCGAAATTACAATTCCTGTGAACAGTTTTTTCACCAACAGTAGTTTGGGGCAACACAGCGGAATAAAATGTCCCTCGACGGATTAGACAAATACCGTCATACCTAGAACATTCTTTATTTAATACAGTACATCGCAACACTCCAGAATCCTGAAAACTGCTTCTACAGTTCCATTCACACCTATGGCACAAAATCACAAGTACATTACTATACTTTACATCAACACTAGCACGAAATCTTCGAGAAAAGATTTTATCGGTTACTGAGTTACGGTTATACGGTTACTGTACAGTACCTTCCGAATTCTATTCGGTAGCTTTTGAGTAAGCATAGTCAGAGAAATAAACATGCGGTATTTATTCGGTATTGTGTATGATTCTCACAACACCATAAAGATGGAATACACTGTAGTATGATTCTTACGGGTATCTGAGGCGACGTAGATCTAGAAACAGCTTGTTGTTGTTGTTGTTGCTGCTGCTGAAGCCTTTGTGCCTCCAACGATTGTTCCACAGTTGCAGCGTCCAAACTTGACCCGATCGACGGTGTTGGCGACAATCCTGCCAAATGGTAGCCGTCTGAGCTCAAATTAGAGTCAGACGCCACTGATGGCGCCCGTTCTGAAGTTTCGCTCGTCGACGATAAAGCCGCAGGACTTGTGGCTGCTCCGTTGCTCGCCATACCATTCCCTGCCACCGAGCTCTTCTTTTTCTTGCAACCCGCTGTTGATGGCGTCGGCAATCCCGTTGATGAATCCTGCAACAAATCAAGAAAATTAAATAATTGTACAGCAATTTACTCGGATACTCCCATGTTTTATGCTTTTTCACTGAACTCGTGAAAAAATAATTCATCTTCTATATTTATTTTTTCTTCAAGGTATGGCTGACTTGAAAAACATACAACTTCAACCCTCATGCTCCGCTGCGATGACAACCGTGAAAAATTCATCAAGCAAATTTGTGTAAATTTATCCCGACACGAAAAAATACCGTATACTGTTCATCCACCTCTCAAAGCTGAAACTACCATACACACGGTCAAGTACTGTATAATTTAAACTCAATTTCCTACCTTAAAAGCAGAGTCCTTTGGAAAACTGTTCCTCCGCGGAGCAGGCTTGAACTGCTCCTCTGGCGACATGCGAACTTGTTCCTGGTAGGACTCGAGTATTTGATGGACCTTCTTCACGACTTCAGGATCATCTTTGTTCGGCGTAACGACGGGTTTCGTGGCGGCAGCCGCGGCGGCAACCACAGCTGCTGATTTGACCGCCGATGGTGGAGGCGGGGGAGGCAGCTGTGGTGATTGCGACGAACTCCGTTGCACTGAAAATTTTAAGAAACCAAGGCTGTGAAATCAACTAGGCTCAACAAAACATTGACAGAAAAAGGCGTTTGTGTGAAAGGGCAATTTTCCTAAAGATTGATGCACCAAAGAAGAGATTCGTCGATCAGAGAAAATAAAATGCTCTGACATTTGCAATTTGTAAATCGATTCTGAAGACTCGAAGACTCATACGCAGTGATGAGGTTCAATAACCACTTCCGAGCACAAAATTGATAATTCATCCCTTTCTAATATAATTTTCTTGGACTCAGAAGTTGAACGCATTTCAAAAAACACATCGACAAAACGTACCAGGACGCGAAGAAACACCAACATTCGTCTCCTTCACAACTATCGGGACAGTGAGTGCAGGACTCAAAGCTTGCGTGCCAACCGACGTGCTCGTAGTCACCGGAGTCGTCTGCGCACCCATACTCGTACTCTTGACGAGTGCGGGCGCAGGAGGCGGCGGCGGAGGCGCCGGCGAATTTATCACTGCAGCCGGAGGCGGCGGCTGTTGCGCTGCTGTAGATACCTGCGTTGAAGATGCAGACGACGGCACGGGCTGAACAGGCACGGATGACACAGCTTGTGACGGCGGAGGTGGCGGTTGTGGTGCCGCAGGAGTAAGAATTGAAGGCGGTGGTGGTGCAGCGGGTCGGGCGGGCCCAGGCACTGTCATGAGCACTGACAGCACCAGAGGTCCGGTGTGGGTTCCGTTGGCTAGACCAGGGTTGTTGCGCAACACTTCTTGTTTCAGCACAGCGCCGAGCAGGCGGATTGGCTGTATTGTATTCCCGTTGTGAACGTTCAGTGTTACCTGAAATTACAGATTTAAAAATTAATTTTTTCCACAGAATTTATTCGCTTTTCATCCGTCTTGATTACCGTCCTAGCTACTTGAAATACTGTAAACGGTAGGTTTCGCTTGAATGATTCTCCAGATACAAAAAGCTATATTAAGCGAAACATATAAAACCTTACTCCGAAAAAATAAGATGACATCTTTGGAATGGCTAAAAAAATCCCGAAGTCCTGTACTCCGTGATACCCAGAATTCATTATAAAAATATTCAATACCTGTATTAAATCCATCATTAGAAAACAGCTTTAAAAACAACCACAAAAAATTTATTGATGAATCCGAAGGTTATAACACTTGAAATTCCATCAATATTCCGAGGTTGGATAAATTGTATCCGCAAGATTTTCATTTTACACCTTCAACTGAACAACATACTGCATTGTGACCAATAGAACGCAAGAAATTTTCGTTCAAGTACTGATCTGAAGGCGCTCAAAAATCGAAATAAAGAAGGCAAATTAAAATGGAAGAGTTCGGTCACTTAATTTCACACATATTAATTACAGAATGCGTCTAATTCATTAACATTCTAAAAAATATTTATTTAAAAATTTAAAAATGAACACGTGCAAGCTAAAAAAAACTTGAAACCGCCGAACGGTTCTTCCATTACTATTTCCAGCACTCTCTCAATGACAAATATTTTTCTTTTCAGAACAATACACATCGAATTTTTTCCGGTCTAGCCACATTTAACATAAGATACATCTGCGGCTTCGCTGAGTAAAAGAGAAGGGCATCAATGTAAATTATAATTTTTCACGAACACCGTTCAACGGAGAGATTACAGAACCCGGATCAAGGCCGTATTCCTATAGAATCTATCTAGATTTTTGTTCATATCCCGTACCTGGCTGTCATCAGGAATATCCTTCAATTTCGTTTCATCCGGCAGCTTCACGTTCACGATAGTCTTGTTCATCGCAGACACAGTCGTAGACGCCTGTTGCTGCGTAGGTGGGGCTGCTATCGGCGCCCGTACTCGTACCGCCGCCACCGCGTTACCCTGCTTGGTCTTCATCTCTGGTTGCACTTGATGGTGTTGTTGCGGAGCTGCTTGATGACTATGATTTTGTTGCAACTGCCTTCGTTTCTTCTCTTCGGCCTCCCGCACCTCGCTGAAGATGGACTCAAACTCCATGAGGCCTTCGAGAGTTTCACTCGACATATCACTGGATGACAACACGTCGTTGGAGGCCGACGACCTGGGACGAGGCGGACTCGTCACCGACGGGGTTTGGGTAGATGCCTGGCTTCCAACGGACGCTCGGTTTTGCACCACTGGCACCGAGTTGGACCGCGGAAGCGCACGGACCATCACTTGTCCACCGCCGCCGGTCGAAGCGACGAACACACTTCCTACATTTGGCTGAGGATAAAAAAAAAGAGAAGTCAAATGCAGATACAGAAAGCAAACCACACATTAAATAAACTATGAAGAAGAACGGGTGCTTACTTTCTGAAGCTGTTTTCATTCATTACTGCATTTCACCTGACCGACAATGGAAACCGAACTAGCCCAATCGTTCGAAAATAACTTACTTAATTTACTAACTAACTTATAAACGCAAATATACGAAACAATATGTTCAAAATAAATACTGTACCTCAAAAAAATTGTGTGCACCTCGTTTGAGACTGAATATTCAAAAATTATGCCAATCCTATTTTTAAATGGTCGAGCATAATCACCGTGTCCTACAACCGCCCTAAGAACGTAATCATAACCTCCCTAACTGCATAAGACAATTCATAATTAACTTCACCTGAGCAACAGAAAATACCTAATCCATATATAATTAGATATTTTTTCTAATTAGGTATTTCACCTGATAGCGAAGTTTTAAGCAATTAAATATAAGTGCAACGTAAAACAGAAACCTGACGAAGAGACAATTGCGACGAAAACCTGACATGGGTAAGTGTACGCGGATCGCAACACAATCCAGGGTTACTTTACTGATCACACAAATGATTTGAAATTGATGTATCTCGCTTAACTTATAAACTCACACAGTAAAATAACAAATCCACCAGAAACCCTATTCCAAAAAACGAGGTTCTTCCGGTTTCTGATATAACCGGCAATCCGCCAAGAATAAAATCAACTCGACAATTCCGTTTCCGGGGTTGAAACGAAACAGACGTTCTTCGCGAATTACAGCATGCATGTAATGTACTTACCGACTGAGCATGTAGACTGCCATTTGCGCGGGCGAGAACAACGTTGTGGGACCCAATCGCGGCTGAAGCAGTCCCTGATACCGACGACCCGGCAGAAACAACCGGAGCAAGAATTGCGAGATGTCCGTCCGGGGTCAATATGACTTGTGCAGTCCTCGTCCCACCGCGTTCGTCACTTATTCCCACCAATTGACCGCCGTTCTTTGCTGACGACAAAAGCTGCGCTAGCGTCACACCCGACGGCGCCACTGCCTTGGCTTGCTTCTGTTGCAAGAGGCGCTTGAGCTTGGCGCCGAGTCCTTCCGCTGCAGGTGGCTGCGGGTGGGCAGGTGGTAGTACTGGAGGGTCCTCGGTTGAGCTACATTCCGCGGTGCCGTTAGTGGAATTGGCCGGCGGCGGAGGTGACGGCGTCGTTGCGGGCTGAGCGCTGCTGTCGGGTGAATCTTGAGCTCCCGACAGCCCAGCGCTCAGCCCCAGGCCGTTTGGGTGACCGGTCCGCGGATTGCTCAAAGCGTCACCATTTGTCGCCTGCAATCAGCAAAATACGTCATCGTAGCCATAATCGACAACCACATCAAGTTCATAATTTAATCTTCGCAACAAGTAGAGAAAATGATCGACAAACGCCTGATCTACGAAAATAGGCCATTATAGTTAGCCTCAAATTTAGTACAGCATCGTACATTTCACTGTATTCAGGCGCAATCTTCGTCAGCCGTCGAGTTAAAGTAGCTGCTCATGCGGAAAACTCACGTAAAATCCAGGTATTCTCTACCAGATCATCGTAAAATTCTACAGGCAAATAAATTATCCAGCTTAACCAAAAACGTGTTCGGCGTCTAGAAAAATTCAAGGTCTACGAACGTGCCCGGGGAGATAATCTTTTTTGCAGTGAATTTATTCAACGAATAGTTCCCGGTAATGAGATTGTAAGTACATCTTACATGAAGCTACGCCAAAAAATACGCAATACTGTACCACGCGTTTCACGGTGAAGAATGAAAATTATTAGATACAATTCAATTTCTTCAGAAATTTATAGTATAGAGCGTAATCAAAAAGAATTACTGTACCTTGAAGGACAAATGTTTGCAATCCGCCACTGTGGGCAACCCGGAGGCATCGCCCGGAAACGCAGTCGCCGCCTGCCCGCTGCTCGACGGCTCTGCGGGCGCGGCGGCGTCCGAAGACGTCAGCGCCGTCGCAACCGTGATGAACGTCAGCGACACGCTCCTTCTGAGCGCATCTCTTCGTATCACTTAATCAACACTTTCGACATCACTCATAGCTCACCCCCCGAGAATTCATGAGCGGCGTGATCTCTGACGAATACTAGGAAATATCCGAACGCATTTCATGCTGAACTATATTAAATACAAGCCACAGAAAAACGACAGCCGAGAAAAGTGGCAGAAATCCAGCCAGGGATACATATTATGTATCCGACACGGTCAAAAATTCAAGCAGAACATTTAGACGAATTCACTGCTTCATTAATGGTCTACCAAGGTCCAACCAAAATCTGGAAATCGGCAAATTGCACTGAGGGAAATAGAATGTAGAATCGAGAGGCTAAGCCGCACGGACCAACACTTAACGAATTCGGCTTCATCAAATTACAAATAATATTTGCAATGAAATGATATATCAACATTGGATATGAACCATCAGCGCGAAAACTTCACCTGCGTGTACGATTACTGGCGAACTCGTTCTCGCCAAGAAACAAAACCTCCAGAGCGATGCAGTATCCCCTTCAACCCCGAGGTCACTACGAAAAGACGCAAACAATATCCCTCAGATCCGATAACGCACCGAGAGTGCGGCCATCTTAACAAAAGCTTGCTTACAAACTCATAGAGCGTGAATGCATTATGCCGCTGGGAAATACCGTACAGTATACTGTAGTGTATACAGTACTGTATTACAGTATCTTCGGGATTTCGAAACTTCAAGTCCAAGCAGTCGGCATCATGAACGATCGAAAACACAATAAGAATACAATATCACCATCAATTATGTTAAACTAACCGGGAAGGCACTTCACAGAGGTTAAATATATGAAATTGTCCCTAGCACATGCACACCTGGTAAATCCGGACAACTGATAAAAAATACCGTATGGCAGATTCGCGGATATTGCTGTGCGGTATATATATAAAGTACAGTATAATGCATTCGCATTCTCATGCATATAATGTGTGCACATGCACACGTGGTAAATCCGGACAACTGATAAAAAATACCGTATGGCAGATTCGCGGATATTGCTGTGCGGTATATATAAAGTACAGTATAATGCATTCGCATTCTCATGCATATAATGTGCAGTCTTCTACGTACTGAAACAGCAGCAATTGAGCTTATACAACTCATGAATGCTGATTGGTGGACATGAATTATTATCAACCGCATGAATTAGAAAAGTGTAAACGCCGCGCCACACAGAACATATCGTATCCGCACGACGCGCCTCTTCGTAAATGCGCCATGACGAATGACTCACGGATTGACGGTAGCCCGCGGGTATTCATATTTTTGTTAGCTCATCCTAATCCATTTGACAGTAATTTTCTGCATGAGAATATCAAGTAATTTTATGACCCTTGCCAGCGGTGCCACGTTACACTATACTGGCTACATTGGATTAAGCTTATTTGGTGTGTTACCTGCTGTGGCGCGGAAAAGATTGTATTTTACATGTTTGCGTATATCAGCTGCGTATAAATCGTGCATTTTTCTTCCGAAATCACCATAACGCTGAAATTATGTTTCGGATGCGGCAATTTGTATGATACCCTGAATTTTTCTAAAATGTGCGTTGTTTAAATAACTATACGGGCGGTGTAGTATCCAGTATTGAGAAACCTTTACGCGCACGCGTGATGATTCTCCAGCAGTTACGATGGTACGTACTTAACGTATATACAGTGTATATATGACGCGATGGTACCGTTTCTTATGGAACTTATACATACGGTGTATCACTGACGTCATTATTGCATTGAAACCTATGCTGTGAGGATGCGGGATGACGGCGATTTTCTTCGATGGGATTCCTGCTTGACGATTTATTTGAATCGGAAAAGGAATTGTACATAGTGAGGTATTCTGTTCGTACACTGATCTATAATTCATTGTGTGAACTCTTTCGATTTGAAAATCATTTCCTCGTTATTCTCCTTCTGACAAAGGAACTATAATGATTGACTTAATTTTCTGAGGCGTGCTTCTAAATTTGTTCCGACTGTGGATATATCCTCAGCAATCGTTTCCGTAGATGTTATGCAGTACTTCACAAGCAGTTTGCTTTCTTTTCGAAGACATGATTCGGTACTTCCTTTCGATGAAGATTATGACGAATCGGCTGAATTCGATTTTTTGATCGAACGTTGCGCGGATCTATATGGGTGTGTTTAGTATTCAGAAACGTAGTGTTGAGATCGCGTGAAAAAAGGTAGATACCCTCTAATCTGATGGAATTCTTCGTGATGGGTTATTTCCTCTTTTAGGAGGAATTTTTCGTGCATTGTGTGAAT